GCACACTCAGAAAATGGCAAAATGACCGAGAGCCTACCGAGAGTAAAACTAAAAAAAAAACTATGTGGGTAAAGAAAGTAGTGGAAGCGTTAGGCGATAGTTGACAGGGGAACCCAACGACAGTTTCCTCCTAAATACATTAAAAACTCTTTTAGGTTATCTCAATTACTAAGTTCTTTGCGGCGCCATATAATTATAACAACTGTTCGGTCATCCACAGGGCAACTTGAGTGGTCTTTTTGATCGAAATTACGAGGGCTTCAATACTATTTTTTCGAGAATTTTGAAATTTTTTCTGATTCCTTCTCTATTACAATTTCGTATCCGGGAATTTTAATTTCCTTTTATGTGGAGAAAACCTGTCTCGTGTAGGAGAGTCACCCTCCCAGCCGAGAGAAAAAAAAACATTGACCCCAACCGGCCTTCGCGCATGCTCTAATTGTCCGCGCCTTGGCTATATATATGCCAGCCCTTTACCGATACAGATCGGATTTGCCGGTCAGACCGAAATGTCCTCTTCCATTTTACAAAATTATTTTTCCCAGGACCACTGATCTGTATCCTGCTTACAAGCACGATAACCAAACTCGCGAAATTTCAAACAGGAATTTTTGTTGAATGGAAAGCGCGTAAAGTGCCTACGGAGAGACTTTGGCCCAACGGTTCGCCATGTTTTGTAAAGAAATGCGTGAAACGTTGCCTCTTCCAGGAAAGCTCGGGTATGCGGGTGACCCTTCTGCTCTAGAAAAATATTTTCATATAAGCGGGGCCTAAATTTTATTACTTTACATTAATTTCCATAGTCCAGCTGACGCTCATTTTTTTTTTGTTTTTTGTTCTACAATGTGGAAAACTGAAATTAAAAAATACAGTGGAACCCGTTGATGCGTAATAGGGAGGTGGTCGCATTAAAGAGGTGTTCAAAATAATAAAATGACTCGGAGATTTTCACGTCTGGGTGGAAAGACTATGGGAGGTGAGCTGAGGCAAGAGGTGGTCTTATAAACGGGGTGGTTGCAAGGCAGGGTTCCTCTGTATATAAACAGAAACAAGAGTTTGACGATCGAATAACCATGTTCAGATTACAAAAAAATATATACTGAAAGATAATTGCAGAATGTTTACAAAAACTGTTATCCAAAACAATGGAACTTGCATATGCGAGGGGAAAGACTGCCGCCTGATAGGTAATAACGTGGTGAAATAGCTAGATATTGAAGCCTGAAGTCAATCAAAGGCATAAACAAACACAAACTTAAGCTTTGAGCTTGAAGACTCAGGATTTTTAGAGACACTTTAATACTTGTCTTCCTGAATGAAAATTGTTGTCTTTGTATATGTTTCACCCAATTCTATTTCTTTTATTGATTGTTAGTAGTCTCTCTTGTAATTTTAATCGCTGTGCCGATTGTTTTCAGTCGTTCAGTGAACATCGCTTACAGGAGTACTCAAAATGCCGCGCGTTAGCCATTGAATAAAAAATAAACATAATAAATTCTTTATTATGTTGGAGCGTAACTCTGTTAATGTTCATTCAAACACTCGGCACAGCTCGCACTACGTATAAAAGCCCACGCGTACTTCCATCGTCCTGAATATTGAATGAGTGCAATTTGTATTGCAAAATTGCGAAATACTGCTTTCTGTCCGAGGTCTGTATGATAAAAGCAGTACCTCATAGTACTGTTTCACCTCAGATGTGATGTATAAATGGTATGAAAGGTTGGTTTACACGCACCCAGATTTGTTGGCAAGATTTTGCAAAGTAAACTTGTCGAACGCAAAAAATTTGGCCCGATTTTTTTTCCAGGCCTAATTAATCTACGGTGATCAAGAGCCATTATGGCTCTTAGATGTAATCGAAGATGATTACCAGTTTTGGGGCGTACATATGAGGCTATCAACTCGATGTAACATTTGGTTCACTCTTGGGCTATTTGCAAATTATTTTTCTCTAAAATCACGTAACCTTTCCCTCAAAAGTCACATGAATGTGCTCTAAAGTTAACTGAATTGTGGAATACAAATTTATTGTTGGATTTAAATTATAAATTTATTAATGGGAGCCTCGCTTTTAGCCCTGGCTAAATCTATATATTAGTCTTTTTCAAATAACAAAATCCCCTGTACTTGAATTTATATGTAAGGTGTTTCTTTCTGTATGTTTTTGTATTTCTTTTCTTTTCTTTTTTCTTATGTAATTTAATAACGTCTTTATTTAAAGTCTTGTCCTGCCCAGATTAGCATTATAGCTATTTGCAGGACATAAAGTATTGTAAACTTTATATTTCTTTAAATAGATACATTATTGTTGTTGTTGTTGGTAATTGTTTGTTTTCCTGTGTCTATCCTCAAAGAAAATAAACACCTTATGGTAAAACTTTCCATCAGAGATCATAACCTTTAAATTGCTGCTACTGGAGAGACCAATAACTTCGCAAAGGGGTGTAGTGGGGGTGGTTCCATGATGTATACGTAGTTTGGAAGAATTCTACTTCTGTGATCGGACTTGATACATAGTGATTCTTATTCTGTAAATATATACGTCTTTTAGCTGGCTGAGAGAGTTATTTTATTTCAGGTGTGTTTGCGGGATATTCTTTCTTAATCATTAAACCCATCCCTCTAAAGGTAAACTGATGCTGAAGGCTCCTAAAGTTAAGAAGGAATTTAAAGATTTCTCTTTTTCCTGGCTTGTAAACATTATCTTAGCGAACATAACTCGGACATACCACCTTTCCTTTCAGAACAATTTCACGTGCTCACTAAAGGTTCTAACAAATTTGATTGCCTAATTGAGGAGATGCTCTTTATAAGAAAACTCAAACCATCCCTAAACGTGTAGGCGGACTCGATTCGTGCAACGGTATTCACTTGAAGAACTTGTGATCCTTTGTTATTATGCTAATTTGTAGAGACTATAGAAATCAAATCTTCGCATTATTTATTCATTTTGCCTTGAGAATGGTGTCATGATAACGAAACGTCGGCTTTTAACGTTAATATTCGCTTGCTTATGTTTTAAGAAATCGTTTTTGATCAAGACTTTAAAACGAGATAATCAGCTTTTCCTGTTTCGAAGACTCGAGCAGATAAGCAAAAAGCAAATTAATTGCGATGGATCTATTGAGTTTCTACGCCTCTGCCAAAATTTTGATCTCACACCGACCTTCGGGACACAAGTCGACAAAGGAAGGAAATCTAAGTAGCTCTAAGTGGAAGAAATCGTCTGCTACCTTTGCCAAAGATGTCGTCGTTGAGGAACTTAAGTTACGAACCAAAGAGAGTGCTGCCCTCAGATGTGAGATCAACGCCATCTACTGTGAAATCCGAGCGACTTGCTCCCTTGTGCTTTACATCAGCATCTTACGCGTAATGACGACCCTTCGTAGGAAATTTCAACAAGAAGTTATTGACACCCATACCCGCAAGATCGCAAGGTTATTATACAGAGAAACGGGTATCGAGGAACATATCATGAACATCTCCTCGTACCGACTATCTTTCTTCCAGAAATCATTCCTTTGTCGAGGTTTAAAGTTTGCACTTCCCCAGAAAGTATCTCCTATCGATGTCATGGTGACCTTTGAAAAAGCATACTGGAATATCGAGCCCCATCTTGCAAATGACGACATGAAAGAGCTAACTGCTACGACACTACGATCTGTGGCACTGGACTTCATCAACCAGAAGGGCCTTAAACCTCCAGAAACCCTTTTGAAGGCTATCGAGGAGCTGAAAAATCGAGATGACATAGTTATTACAAAGCCAGACAAGGGTTCCGGAGTTGTTGTAATGGACAAATCCGAATATCTGCGCCTGCTATCTGAAGCCTCCATCAATGACACCAGCAAATTTAGACCAGTTGGTACAGAGAGACCTAAAACAAGAGGAAGGCCAGCGAAATGTTATCATCCGCTTTTACAACGGGAAAAGTAAATTAGTGCTGTCATATCCAAAGTACTACCCAAGCCCATTGCTGACTGCATCCTTCTTAAAGGTTGTAGACTTGCACACCTATATGGCCTACCGAAGGCGCATAAGGAACAACTTGCTATGTGCCCAATTCTCTCCGCTACGCATACTTATAACTATGCGTTGGCTAAGTGGCTAGATGAAAAACTGAAACCACTCTCATGCAATCATTACACGGTAACAGACACATTTGAGTTTGTCAACGAAGTACAAAACCTAGAGATTAACAGAGGCGATATTCTAGTATCCTATGATGTCACCTCTTTATTTACCAATGTACCACTACATGAAACTATCCAGATTTTAGCTGACAAAGCTTTCACTGATGACTGGTTTAACAAGACCCATGAACTGAACCTATCCAGGGACCAGCTAATTGAACTACTCCACGCAGCCACTAAGAACCAACTTTTTCAGTTTAATGGAAATCTCTGTGAGCAAACAGATGGCGTCGCAATGTCTTTATCAGGGGCACCCAACGACAATTTTCGGAAGAATATCTGTTCGGAAGACGATTTGAGAGCTAGAATTTTCGAAACATTTGTTGTAAAATTTCTTGCTTGCCTGCCTCTCCTAGGATTTTCGAACATCCAAAAAATGGTATATTTGCCTATTTTTAACGGATTTTTACCCTAAAAAGGTCATCTAGAATTTTCGGAAGCCTTTTTTCTGGCTGAAATTTCCGAAAAGGTAAGTTTTGATCCCTATAATTTTCGGATCACTAGACTTTCAGCTAGGAAATCCGAACAGATGAAAAATTTTTAGGGGATAAAAATATGCCTATATCTACCGTTTAAATACTAAAATACGTTTAACAATGCTATGTTTAAGTGGTTTTGAACTATATTCTCGTTGGGTGCCCCTGCTTTATGTGCTCCATTGAAGATAAACTCGATCAAGATGGCAAATTGCCCTCCTATTATCGACGATATGTGGATGACACATTTACCATCATGCCTGATATAGCATCAGCCAAAATTTTTCTTGATACCCTAAACCACTGCCACCCATGAGCAAAGTTTACTATGGAGGTTGAACGGAATGCCTCGCTTCCTTTCATCGGTGTTGAACTGTTAAACTTAGCTCCCAGAATCAAGACCAAGGTCTGCGTAAAACCAACTAATACGGGCCTTTTACTCCACTACCAGAGCCACGTGGATAATCGGTACAAGCGCAGTCTAATTACCACCATGTTAGATCGAGCTTACCGCATATCTTCCGACTGGTCGTACTTCTCACAAGAATGCGATCGGCTTGAGACTTTATTCCTAAAGCTTAAGCACCCGAGTCACCTATTCAATCTGGCTGTCAAACAATTCGTAGATTCCAAGGTAGTAGACCAGCAGCAAAGTCCATCAACCGACACGACTCCAGCCCCCATCCGAGTTGTCATACCATTTAAAGATCAGGTCTCTGCTAATATAGTGAAAAAACGTCTCACAGACCTTAGCTTAAAAATCAAGACCACTATTCAGCCCGTGTTCAATCTTTATTATTAAAAAAATCATTGTCTCCGTAGTAACCGTAATAAAAACCAAAAGTGTACCCTTTGTTTTTTCTTCGTTCTCTCCTTTTCCTTTCCATTTTCTGTTTTGGCGTGATTTTCAGGTTTGTCGGAACCAATAGAACTCGCATATTGGCCTTACTCTAGTCAAATGGTTACTTCAGCTTAGGGTCGTAGGACGAGATCTGGTTATGTAGAACTCCGTGGCTTACCTTGATCTTTTCCACATCTATCATCATTTCTTAAGCTATGTTCAGACTATACTGGAAAGCTTTTCGTGACAAAGCTATTGGGTATAGTATGAACACCTATCCGATAAAAAGAAAATTATGTGACTCTCCCCCTTAGAGATCGGCGCCGCGCAGCTTCGCTCCGTTACAGAAATCGCGCCGAAATCGCCGTTCCTTATGTGTGAACAGAAGCCCTATCTGGTATGGTTTTCGCGCCGGCGCAAAAGCTATCTCCTATATTGCGAACATAGCCTTAGCTGGTTTTAGAATTTCCCTATTCATTTTTTTTTCTCGTTGTAGGCGTTTATGTTTGAAAGCAGTCTCAGTATGGCCATCACAAAATGGGGAAATGAAACATGTCTGAAAGTGGACCATGATTACTACAAAGTATGGGAGCAGTTAGAGAAACACTTCAATCCAAACTGGAAACCAGATGAGGAAAATAAAGCAAGCTAGCGTTGAGAACTTAAAAAAGATAGGGTTCAGGGAGGAAGGAAGGAGGAAGAACAATGTTTGGCGGCCTGAGTGAAGATTTTGTGGTTAAAATTCGTTCTCAGGTTAATCCAGGATTTCATTTGTCTTCTGTGAATAACTAGGGCTAAGAAACAAAGGAAATTCTGAGTCAAACTTAGCTCCTAAGTAACCGTTGTTTGTGCTTAGGCTGCTTGGTTGAAGTCTTTTTTTTTTTTTACCCCAGAGCGCATTTTACCTACAATGCGGACACCTCCTACTCCTTTACACGGAATAAGAAAGTTGGGAAATTATAGCCATTGCCAGGAGCCCAAAAGAACTCTCACGGTTTATTCATAAGCCTATCAGGTTTTGGACATCTTAGATTACTTTCCCCGTAGAAACAAGAAACTCTGCTCTGTCTGTCAGTTGCGCCTCTGTTGTATGACATACGAAAGAGTGAAAGCAAAAATAACTGCAACAAAACTAAAACAAAAACAAACAATTCTACAGGTCATCCAAAACCACTAAAAGTCCGATGTTTGCGACCTTATTTTTTGGTGATCCTGTGGTACTCTAAACTCGCGTCGAACGCATTCTCATCAGTAAAGAGTCTTGACTCGAATAAATGGTAGGTGAAAGTCCCGTGTTATGGCCTCCTGTCACTACAAATGCTGTTCTCGTGGAAAGCATACAGTGCGCCTGAAGCCGAACACGACTGGCGCTTTTAGTATATTCTACGTCGCAGGCGCTTGGAAAGGCGCAAGAAAGAACAAAACGCGCGAAGGAGACACTCTTCTCTCGTGTGTCTTTGTCGCGCGCCCCGTTTTTTCTCGCTTATTACTTCCGAGCGCCTGCTACGCAGCATAAAGTTAGTAGGGCCGGGCGATATACTCGAAACTAGGAGATGTCTGCATGCAGGGTGACACCTGAATTAAGATTCTTACACGGTTTAATGCCTCTTAGGACAAATCAGGGAACATAAATATGTTTATATGGAGAATAAACAACGGATATTTTAAAACTCAAATGTTGATCGAAGTGCAGCTATAATGGCAATCTGTTGGGGGAAAAAGCGGTCTTGCGAGCAAGCTCTCCCTCGGTTCTTTTACTGACAGTCGCTGCCCTAGGTCGTCTCTTCCCACCCCTCTCCATCTGAATTTCGTGCGTGGGTTGGTCCTCAGCTCCCGCAAGCTTCTGTTTCCCCAAGGTAGCCTCCTGATAAATAAACCAGCTTATTTTCGAAATTTGTAATTTTCTTTTTTAGTCTCCCTTTTAGCAGAAAATATGAGAGAAATAACACTCCGCCTTTATTTACTGTCCTGTCGAGCGCTGAACTGATAATACGCAAGGTGATAATGCCCGAGACTACCTCTGTTGAATATGAAGCATAACGTGAAGCACTCTTTCAACGCAACTAAAAATGCTGTGCGAGTGAAAGCTTTCTGGCAGTTTCCTCAGACCATAAAAGTTGGTAAACGGTTACTTTGGATTGTCTAGCATAATATTCATGACTTGATTCAATTTATCAAACACTAGTTGTAGTGTTTCATCTCTTAACAAGAAGTGGGTTGAATAAGCGAACTCTGTTTATAGTCAACAGTAAAATTTTGCCAGACCAGGCGCAGTAAAGTCATGGGTATGGGTCAGATTAAAAGAGGATACTTCCCCACAGCCCCCTTCTTGGACTGGATAGATTGTTCCCTTTGGGAAATCTCTCCCGGGCTACAATGTAGGAGCGGGAATCTCGGGTTTCGGCCCACTGTATGTTCAACTGCGTTATAAAAATGGACCTTCATACAAAATAAGTCACAAACGAATAGGCACTCAGAATATCAATTTTAATTCAACTTCCATTTTTCAAACATGGCAAGAGTCTTGAAAACAACACAACACTCTAACAACGCTGACTAATCAAACTGAAACTTAATTAACTAGACGATATAGGCGCTTAGAACGAGCACTCTCAGAAATTATCATAAACAAAATCAACGTAACTCTGATGTGAGTTTCAACCAAAACAGTGGGTATAAATTAAGAGCTGCAAATCTCAATCTAATTTTCAGTTACATGGTGTAAAGAAATACTGAAAGGCCCAGCAGCTGATTCAGACGGCATTTCAGAAGTGGGCCACCCCAGGAAACGGCTAAAAAACAGTTGTGGAAACACACTGCGAAAAACAGTTTTCCTTTTGATTAAAACTGAAAACCAAACGCTAACAAAAGGAAAAAACTAACAACCGCTAAGTATACTTAAGCCAAGAAAGCTATTTTTCGAGAGCAACACTGCAAAATCATTCCAAAAAATATAGCTTAATCGGCAAAACGTCATGGAATTCGAAAATGCCATTGCCCCTCATTTCCTCCATTTTCAGAAGAAACGAGGTTGCATTTGCCGAATAGAGGCCCGTAATTGAGCTCATTCATTCATCTCAACACACTTTTAAAACCGATCCTTCTGTTTATATATTGGCTAATGAAGTTGAAAGAATTGTGAAGTGTTTCTTAGTGTTGCGGAAACCATTGTCGGTTCGCTTGTGTGTTATTGTGGTGTGGGTATTGTTCAGTGTCGTTCAGTTCCCGGGAGGGGAGGGGGGAGGGGGACTCCCTTATATATATATGTGCCGCCGCATCGGGTAGAGTTTTTGCGCAGTTTTGGTCTGAAAACGGGTATAAACTTTACCCATTTTGGTCTGGAATCGGGTATGGTTTTCGATGGAACTACGAGAGTGTATGAACGTATTTATTGTTTCAATTCCAAATGAGCAAGTAAGAAAAAGAAATATGCGAATTAGAGATAGATGTTAAGAAATCCTTTTTGATGCTGTTCTAATCTAAGTAATGATGACGCAATTTCTTAGAGGCGAGGTCGGAAAACGGGCATGGATTTTTGGGGTCAGGGGCCCGTTTCTCGAGAGTCCCGATAATTATCGGGCCTGGTAAGCTGTTGCCTTTACATTAATGATCGAAGTTTCAATAGTTTTGGATCTAACATGATGAAACTATCAGTTAATGAAACAAAATGGAGTAGTTTGCTTGGCGGGACTAGCACTCTTACTCTTTATATTTCGATTTGAATATTTGATTTCATCAAGAGGTTACATTCTGGAGGTGTTTGATGCACACTTTGTTTTGCCTCATCGTGGACCAATAGGTATAATTAAGTGAAAATCACTTTCCCTAAGTTCGCGGAAAGAAATTTTATGAAGGAAAAGTCATGCTTGAACAAGTGCAGCCCACTTCGGCCCCACTGATGACCAGTCCAAAACGCTTTGTCTATGTAAAATTGCCTCTGGATAAAAAATAATGGAATTAGCCGTGAGCACCTTAGAGGATAATTTATATGCCTTGTCACTATGTACCTGTATCAGCTGTATATTTACATCTACCTGTATCCATGTTATTGGCATTCACACTCTGAACAGAGTTTAGTTTATTTGTTTAATTTAGGACAATACTATTGCATTATTTTGTTGAAGTATTTCACTTTTGCAAACACCACAAAGCGCTTGTCTGCTTCATGATTTAGATCCAGATTTTCAACTTTTTTCATGTGCTAATGGACTGGCAAACCCCGGGACTTTCTAACACCTGTAGCATGGTTTGAAGACAGAGACGTGCCCTCTGGTTTCACAGTTATCAGCAAATGTCAAGGAAAACTCTTCAAAGCCATTCAGATTTGATTTAGAAGTACTAGTGGCTGAACTTCTTTGTAATACTGGTAAGAACATTCCATTAGACCAATTTTAATATATTAAAATTTACACTTAGCTCTGAGGCTTGGGGGAATAAAACAAAAGAAATCATCTTGAGCTTCAGAAATGAATAATATATTTTGTTTTATTCCCCAAGCCTCATGGCCAAGCTTTGTACATGTAGGAATTTTAATACATCGAAATTGGTTTATTAGAGAGCCTAGGGGATGTCAAAGGAAATTGAGAATCAACCTAGGTTAAAAAAACTTAACCTGAAATCAAATTTGACCTGTAACATATATAATGGTTTATATCTGGAGGTATTGAGTACAGTTTTGGGCATTGGTCATCCAAAGTAAAGGTCTTCTGAAAATTTTGAAGGTACACATGAGCCATGAGGCCCACATGGCCATAGCTTACCCTGGTTTCTGGTGCATGAATGACTAAAGAGTAAAATCTCAACTCCTCCCTGGAGATGCTGCTAGTATCCACTACATGGATAACTCCCAGCAGAAAGTTTTTAGCACTCATTTAATCTCCTGGATAAAAGAAAAAGTAGAGCAAAGTTACTTCTTGTCTAAGGAAATGATGTGACAGTAAGGCTAGGACTTTTAGTAGGTTTATCGAGCTGTTGTGTGTTGTGCAGACTGCTAGGACTAGCAGTCAAACTAAATACATCCTGTTTAACTGGGCAACGAAAATAATGGAAAAAGATGTTATATTTGGGTAGTCATCCGGATGTGTGATGTCCTGACATGACTACAAATCTTATAGTTGCCGTCATACGTGTATAGCATGTATACCCCATACACCACACACCTAGGTATGATAATTATTTCTCATGCTTTATTCGCAAGCTGGATTGAAGAAAGTAGCTGAGTTCCCAATGATGGGACACAAACCTGTGACCTGTCAACACCAGATCATTGCTGTAATCAAATCTTTTTATTCTTTGTAGGACCCATCAATATTCACTGTGTTGACTTGTCCCAGTTTAAAGCCTGGACTTGCTATAGCAGATTTTGTTATATTTCCACCAAGATGGAGTGTTGCTGAGAACACTTTCAGGCCACCTTACTTTCACAGTAAGTAACGTTTTGAAGGTTATAATTACGGTGAGAGTGACTCAGACTTCTGCTGGACCTGACCAAACTTACAAATGGGTCGGAAAATTTTGGTTATGTAGTGTAGCAGTGGAGTCCTTCAACAACATCCTGTGGCCTCTCCACCTTACTTTTGCGCTTAGATCACTAGGAAGTCTTAGTTTTTCGTTAGAAATCCTTTGCTGGGCACACTGGATTTCACAGGTTCAGAGCACTGGGCTTCCTTTCAATTTTTCGTAAAGCACAGCCTTGTGTAGAATGGATGTGGCTTGTTTCATGTGCTTCCTATGCAAATCAACAAGTATGCATGTGTCAAATGGGTATAATATCTATGACTTATTTGATATCACAGGCATTACAGGGATCAGATACAACTGTAGATCGTACAGCAGTAATTCCTCTCATCAAAGTTTGTGAAAGAAACTACTTTACTGGGGAAAACAAGAATAGCAAATAAATTCAAGTCTCATCAAGGCTGTAGGTTGTTTGGCACATCCCATTCCCTGGTATACAAGTGCAGGGGCAGTAGACAACTGCAGTAGAAAATGGATCACTAAGAATAATACAAGGAGATGCAATGTGAAGGAAGCCGATGAAAGCAAAATACAATGTATGGTCCGAGCAAGAGTAATGTCTCCCTCCTCACCTTAAAGAAAAAACATTTTAAATTATAATGACATAAATAGGAAAATGTTGAGGTACCCTTAGCAAGAAATGTGTCCTTCCCAGCGCAAAAAAAAAAAAAAAGTTTAAGAGATTGAACTTAAAGAGCCATGTCTCTCAACCTTTACTTTTAATTTATGAACAGGAAACTGTATGAGTGAATTCATGGGGTTAATTTATGGAGAATACGAAGCCAAAGTTAGTATCTAGTATTTAATATATTCCAATTATTTATCTGCAGTTTGAAGGTTTTTGTTTTCGTTTTTGCTTTTTGCTGAAGAGCGAGTCACACCTTGCCTCTGCTCTCAGCTAAATTTTTCGCTTTTTTAATTTTTGAGGGTGGTTTCAACTGGCTTACATGTAATTGGTCAAATCAAGGCGAGATTTCCTGAAGTTGAATTTTTAGGGAGCACATCAAACTATAAAAAAGAACAAAAAATCGGTGTTTACGTCCTCTACAATATGTCCCATTGGAACGTTTCACGTTTTAGTCGAGCAGTAAGAAGTGTACAAAAAAAGCATAATGCACGTGCAAAGTTGTTCTTTCAGTTATCAAACCTATTGCTTCTTTGACGTCCCCGTTGCCATCGGCGTTGTGGTTGCTTAAATTCCCTGGTATTCGTCTGAAACTATAATATTTACGGTTTTTTTTTCTTGTCATGTTAGGAGGAAGGATATGCCCCAGGGGTAGTAGTCTGCATAGCATGATGACTCCTCATGGACCGGATAAGGATTGTTTTGAGAAGGCGTCAAATGCAGAGCTGAGACCCCAGCGAGTGGCAGATGGAACTATGGTATGTATAACATGAACAGTGCATAATTAATTCAAACCCTAGCCTGGCGTTTTTAACATTACCAAGTGGACCAGAGTAAAGAAATTGTATGTTCGCCATGACGGCATTCATGACCATTGTTTAGTGGTTACTTGAGTATTTCAGCCGGTTTAAAATCAATAAATGTATTGTCAAATGGCCGGGACATCTGTTGACTCAAAGTGTTCTGTTGTGACAGTTTCAATGGATATATACTCTGCTTTGGTTCTTTTTGCCCTTGTTTTAAATTGTATTTTCCCTATGTACATCACAAAATGATTATCAGACTTTACCATACCCACAAAAACGAACGAAAATTAAACTTAAACCAAGAATACAACTGAATCTCAACATATACCTGAACGGATTTGCAAAAAGTTACCTACTTGTTCTGCACAACTTTTCCTCATTCATTCTTTATTATTAAAAAACTATTTGTCTCCGTAGTAACCGTAATAAAAACCAAAAGTGTAGCCTTTGTTTTTTCTTCATTCTCTCCTTCACTTTTCCTTTCGATTTTCTGCTTTGGAGTGATTTTCAGGTTTGTCGGAACCAACAGAACTCGCATACTGGCCTTACCCTAGTCAAATGGTTACTTCAGCTTAGGTTCGTAGGATGAGATCTGGTTATGTGGAACTCCGTGGCTTACCTTGATCTTTTCCACATCTATCATCATTTCTTAAGCTATGTTCAGACTATACTGGAAAGCTTTTCGTGACAAAGCTATTCGGTATAGTATGAACACCTATCGGATGAAAAAAATTATGTTACTCTCCCCTTTAAAGATCGGCGCCGTGCAGCTTCGCTCCGTTACAGAAATCGCGTCGAAATCACTGTTCTTGTGTGTGAACAGAAGCCTTATCAGGTATGGTTTTCGCGCCGGCGCAAGGGCTATCTGGTATAGCGGAAACATAGCCTTAGCTAGTTTGGGAATAGTCTGCTACACAGCCGTTTTTAGAGTCGTCACGCAATGAGGAGCGTTACGTGACGACACTAAAAACGGCTGTGTAGCAGACCGGTAGTTTGGGAATTGCTCTATTCATTTTTTTTCGTTGTAGGCATTTATGTTTGAAAGCAGTCTCAGTATGGCCATCACAAAATGGGGAAATGAAACATGTCTGAAAGTGGACCATGATTACTACAAAGTATGGGAGCCGTTAGAGAAACACTTCAATCCAAACTGGAAACCAGATGAGGAAAATAAAGCAAGCTAGTGTTGAGAACTTAAAAAAGATAGGGTTCAGGGAGGAAGGAAGGAGGAAGAACAATGTTTGGCGGCCTGAGTGAAGATTTTGTGGTTAAAATTCGTTCTCAGGTTAATCCAGGATTTCATTTGTCTTCTGTGAATAACTAGGGCTAAGAAACAAAGGAAATTCTGAGTCAAACTTAGCTCTTAAGTAACCGTTGTTTGTGCTTAGGCTGCTTGGTTGAAGTCTTTTTTTTTTTTTTTTCCCCAGAGCGCATTTTACCTACAATGCGGACACCTCCTACTCCTTTACACGGAATAAGAAAGTTGGGAAATTATAGCCATTGCCAGGAGCCCAAAAGAACTCTCGCGGTTTATTCATAAGCCTATCAGGTTTTGGACATCTTAGATTACTTTCCCCGTAGAAACAAGAAACTCTGCTCTGTCTGTCAGTTGCGCCTCTGTTGTATGACATAAGAAAAGGTGAAAGCAAAAATAACTGCAACAAAACTAAAACAAAAACAAACAATTCTACAGGTCATCCAAAACCACTAAAAGTCCGATGTTTGCGACCTTATTTTTTGGTGATCCTGTGGTACTCTAAACTCGCGTCGAACGCATTCTCATCAGTAAAGAGTCTTGACTCGAATAAATGGCAGGTGAAAGTCCCGTGTTATGGCCTCCTGTCACTACAAATGCTGTTCTCGTGGAAAGCATGCAGTGCGCCTGAAGCCGAACACGACTGCCGCGTTTAGTATATTCTACGTCGCAGGCGCTTGGAAAGGCGCAAGAAAGAACAAAACGCGCGAAGGAGACACTCTTCTCTCGTGTGTCTTTGTCGCGCGCCCCGTTTTTTCTCGCTTATTACTTCCGAGCGCCTGCTACGCAGCATAAAGTTAGTAGGGCCGGGCGATATACTCGAAACTAGGAGATGTCTGCATGCAGGGTGACACCTGAATTAAGATTCTTACACGGTTTAATGCCTCTTAGGACAAATCAGGGAACATAAATATGTTTATATGGAAAATAAACAACGGATATTTTAAAACTCAAATGCTGATTGGTTCGAAGTGCAGCTATAATGGCAATCTGTTGGGGGAAAAAGCGGTCTTGCGAGCAAGCTCTCCCTCGGTTCTTTTACTGACAGTCGCTGCCCTAGGTCGTCTCTTCCCACCCCTCTCCATCTGAATTTCGTGCGTGGGTTGGTCCTCAGCTCCCGCAAGCTTCTGTTTCCCCAAGGTAGCCTCCTGATAAGTAAACCAGCTTATTTTCGAAATTTGTAATTTTCTTTTTTAGTCTCCCTTTTAGCAGAAAATATGAGAGAAATAACACTCCGCCTTTATTTACTGTCCTGTCGAGCGCTGAACTGATAATACGCAAGGTGATAATGCCCGAGACTACCTCTGTTGAATATGAAGCATAACGTGAAGCACTCTTTCAACGCAACTAAAAATGCTGTGCGAGTGAAAGCTTTCTGGCAGTTTCCTCAGACCATAAAAGTTGGTAAACGGTTACTTTGGATTGTCTAGCATAATATTCATGACTTGATTCAATTTATCAAACACTAGTTGTAGTGTTTCATCTCTTAACAAGAAGTGAGTTGAATAAGCGAACTCTGTTTATAGTCAACAGTAAAATTTTGCCAGACCAGGTGCAGTAAAGTCATGGGTATGGGTCAGATTAAAAGAGGATACTTCCCCACAGCCCCCTTCTTGGACTGGATAGATTGTTCCCTTTGGGAAATCTCTCCCAGGCTACAATGTAGGTGAGGGAATCTCGGGTTTCGGCCCACTGTATGTTCAACTGCGTTATAAAAATGGACCTTCATACAAAATAAGTCACAAACGAATAGGCACTCAGAATATCAATTTTAATTCAACTTCCATTTTTCAAACATGGCAAGAGTCTTGAAAACAACACAACACTCTAACAACGCTGACTAATCAAACTGAAACTTAATTAACTAGACGATATAGGCGCTTAGAACGAGCACTCTCAGAATGGCAAATTATAATAAACAAAATCAACGTAACTCTGATGTGAGTTTCAACCAAAACAGTGGGTATAAATTAAGCACTGCAAATCTCAATCTAATTTTCAGTTACATGGTGTAAAGAAATACTGAAAGGCCCAGCAGCTGATTCAGACGGCATTTCAGAAGTGGGCCACCCCAGGAAACGGCTAAAAAACAGTTGTGGAAACACACTGCGAAAAACAGTTTTCCTTTTGATTAAAACTGAAAACCAAACGCTAACAAAAGGAAAAAACTAACAACCGCTAAGTATACTTAAGCCAAGAAAGCTATTTTTCGAGAGCAACACTGCAAAATCATTCCAAAAAATATAGCTTAATCGGCAAAACGTCATGGAATTCGAAAATGCCATTGCCCCTCATTTCCTCCATTTTCAGAAGAAACGAGGTTGCATTTGCCGAATAGAGGCCCGTAATTGAGCTCATTCATTCATCTCAACACACTTTTAAAACCGATCCTTCTGTTTATATATTGGCTAATGAAGTTGAAAGAATTGTGAAGTGTTTCTTAGTGTTGCGGAAACCATTGTCGGTTCGCTTGTGTGTTATTGTGGTGTGGGTATTGTTCAGTGTCGTTCAGTTCCCGGGAGGGGAGGGGGGAGGGGGACTCCCTTATATATATATGTGCCGCCGCATCGGGTAGAGTTTTTGCGCAGTTTTGGTCTGAAAACGGGTATAGACTTTACCCATTTTGGTCTGGAATCGGGTATGGTTTTCGATGGAACTACGAGAGTGTATGAACGTATTTATTGTTTCAATTCCAAATGAGCAAGTAAGAAAAAGAAATATGCGAATTAGAGATAGATGTTAAGAAATCCTTTTTGATGCTGTTCTAATCTAAGTAATGATGACGCAATTTCTTAGAGGCGAGGTCGGAAAACGGGCATGGATTTTTGGGGTCAGGGGCCCGTTTCTCGAGAGTCCCGATAATTATCGGGCCTGGTAAGCTGTTGCCTTTACATTAATGATCGAAGTTTCAATAGTTTTGGATCTAACATGATGAAACTATCAGTTAATGAAACAAAATGGAGTAGTTTGCTTGGCGGGACTAGCACTCTTACTCTTTATATTTCGATTTGAATATTTGATTTCGGGCCCGAAAAGTTACCAGGACTTTCGAGAAACAGGCCCCAGGTGTGGAAAAGGATGTGAAAGTGACAGATTTTAGTCTTTCTGGTCTGGAGAACCGGGCGGTACACCCCCACCAAGAATTCCCAGGAGTACCCCCGCCAGGGTCCAGTTTGTGATTACAACACCAACAAGAAACTACCCAATTGTATGACTTTTGTACGAATAAGATATTCACGAAGAAAGAAATGAAAAGAAAAAAAATTCAACACACACACAATATATCCCTGTCACCGGAACGTAACTTCAGACAGGAGAAGAAGTAAATGAAATGTGACTTAAGCCCGGGACTCCATTCAAAAGAATGCGTTATTTAACGTGGCCACCTTGTGCAAGGTAAATGAGAGTTTGGGTTGCACGTTGATTTGAACGCTGACTTCTTGCCAGTTAACACTGCAGTCACCCACTTTGTCCTAAGAGGAAAGAAAATGCAGTTCAGATTCTAATGAGTAGAGTTAAGCAGCATAGTCTTCCTGCGAAAAATTTTCACGACATTCATGGGACGAAATGTCTACTTCTTTGTCAAACATTGCCTTGAAAACATACACCGCACTTAGCGGTTTATACCGTACTTATTTGTCACAAATTTTATTCGAGTCTAGATGACTTTAAGCTACGTGCAAACGGACGCAACAACTCCTGACATTGTTGGGCCAACAATGTTGGGAGTGGTCCCGTCCGTGTGGGCGGTGGCGTGCAAACGGATGCAAGAATTCATAACAACACGCAATAACATGCAACAATATGCAACAGGGTGTGCAAATGGACGCAACATGTAGCATCCAACAATTTTGGGAGTTTTTGGCCAACAATGTTGCGCCCGTTTGCACGGGGCTTTTGAACTGTACATATCGTTTTCTAAATTCATATTATGACTCTTCATTTCACATCTATTAGTGACGGTCATCGTACCTCAAACTCGAAATCGCCAAGTGCTGTTCTTGCATCATCATGGAAGTTGAGCACCACTGCTTCTAGCCAGGCATTGTCTGTATTTCTGGGGTCATCCACGTATCCTTTGTAAACCTGCAATCCGGATATTTTATTTTATGGAGCGAATTCAGAGGCAGAGCTAATCACTCTAATACAACACACCTAGAGTCTTACACGAACGGGTGAAATCAAGATTGGCATATATAAGCTTTATTTCTGATTGTCGAGAAAGTGACACAAGATTTCGTAAGCAATGTTGAAAGCGAAAACAGCGTAATGTAGCTTATGAAAACGCAGTATTAAAACTGCTGATGATCGATGGCTATGGTTACGACGTTGTTCAGTAAAAAGAATGTTCGAGTAGTATAGCACCGATGAAATTCAGTGGAATCTCATTAATTTCCTGTGGAATACATTTTAAAATTCTGTGACGTCATGGCCTTTTGTCTGATATCTCATGAATAAATTGAGGCGGAATTAATTATCTTGCGGTGTAATACAGGAGCGCTGCTGACGTCACAGCCTTTTGTCCTTATCTCATGAAACTTCCCGTTACCCTT